AGGTGCTGTCAGTGTATTCCAAACACGGCGTAACACAACAGGTGGCACAGAGACGGTGGCCACTGCTTGTTAAATACAGAAGGGGTTGAGAAAGGAATAAACAAAATGTGAGAGAAAGAAAAAAAAAGGCAAAGTAAGCATGCTGATGTTTTAAAAAAAAATATCAAAGAACGTTGTGCCACCTTGAGAGGGTTTTTGCACACTTAACCCTGTGTCAACTTTTAAAATGTCACAAAAGGAGGGGCACGCAATGCCACCAGACCTGTCGCCTCCCGGGGCTGCGTAGGAACGGTGCTAACCTCAGCCCAGGGTGAGGCAGGGCTTCCCGGAATGACCCGCCCGGCGGCGGCGTGCAGGGAGCTGCCCACGCCCGGCGCTGCCTTAGCTCCCTCTGCTTCCTGTCTGCCCACTCACATTCGACTTGGTCTCTTTCTCATCAGAGGAGCTATTTTCTCTCACAACATGTGCTTATTTCTTATTCTGCCCGTCCTTCTGAGATGCTCACATCTCTCCTTGACATCTGTCAAAATGGCTTTGCCGCATGTGACATTATTTTGCCGATTCACTTATTTAGAGGTTTCTTGAGAGCAAAGACCCCACCTTGGGATTTAGGCATTCGGCCACCTGGTGGCAGGACTGTGCTCCAACTGCAGGGTGCCAGCTTCCCCCACCGACCCCCGGAAGCCTCTGGAGGCAGGTTCCCCCTTGATGCAAGAACCCCTTCTGCCGTCCCTCCAGGATCAGCCTGCACCCTCTCTGTGGGGCCCTTCGGAGGGACAAGGGCTCATGGGGACAGCCCACTACATGTACAGGCAACTCTTAGAAGGAGAGACACTCTGGAACAAGTCAACAGTATTTTCTGTGCAAACACCAGGGCCCAGCATTTTGATAAGAGCTGGGGATATAAGAGACGCTGAGGAGCTGCTTCCTAAGAGCTCACGTTGCCGCCAAAGGTGTCTTCTACGAAAGGTGGGATACTGCCCTGATAAAGTACCGGTCTCAGTCCCTGCTTTGAACTGCAAGCCTGGCCTGCCCTTGGCCGGGCTTCCTGTCCGCCTGTAGCCCAGTCTCAACTCTCTGACTGTCCCAGATCCACGGATCCTCCGGCCCCAAAGCTTTTCCCTCTCACGCGGCTTCTTTCCTGTACCCCAGAGGAGCCTGCCTGGAGAAAGGACACTAAAATAAAGAGGCGATGGTGGCTCTGTTCCCTAAGTTGTTTTGTTCTTTTTCTGCCCATAAGGGAAAGATTCCAAATGTCCCTCCGCCGGGTGCACTCGGTTTGCCTGAAGTTAATTCACTCACCAGCTGTTGAGGCCGCTCTGTCCTTGGGTGGAGTTTGGCTCGCTGGCCGGCTCCTCCGTGCGGCAGCCGGCCTGGCCTCGTTAGGAGCCGTGTGGCCTTTGGAGCTGGCACCGTGGCTGTCCCCCGAGTCAGCCTGGCTAGCATCGGCTTCCTCTGATGGCTGGACGCAGATTTCTCACTTTTTCCTCTTTCGGATCTGTGCCGTATTTTTGCTGCTTTCTGCTTTTGCTTCCTGTCCCTGGGACAGGTCTTTTGGGCCTGCGCCATCTGTGGACAGAGGTACTGCCGTGCTTTCGAGCCGTGTGGTCTCACTTTTCCAGCTAAGTTTCCTGGCCCCAAACTGACATCCGTTGGGGTTACAGTGGTGGGGAATGAGCTTCCAAAATGTTATCTATTTCAAGTTTTGCCTAAACGCCCCAGGCAGACACTGTGGACGATATAATTTTTGGCAAACCTAAGCGCGTGACCCTTCCTAGCAGATGCTTAGGAGAGCACTAAGAGCTCACACAAGATGCTTTCGTGTTCAAAGGGCTGGTTAGCATTCCACTGGCTTGACCCGCACTGGGCTGAGAGCACACGGAGGAGGCTTTTTGACTGAATTAACAAGACTGGGAAAGATCTGATTTTGGTCTACCGATTTCAAGCGCTGGTACCACTCGGAGAGGGTTGAATTGGGGAGGGAAGCGGTTATATGCTAAGCCCATGCCCACATCAAGAACTCTGTAAGGTAGGCTAGCTAGTCCTCAAGGCAATCCCATAAGTATTCTGTTATTATCCCCTTTAAAAGACACAGAAATGAACACCTCAGATTGAGAAATGTTTAACCCATGCTTTGCAGAGAATAGAGATCCAAAGCAAGTTATAATTCTAGGTCTTTCTGGATCTGAGAATTACTTTCCTCAAAAGCAATATATTTCTTTTCTAAGTTAAATTTGATAATTTTTCCAATTATGAGAGCAAAAGTTGCTTAGTGTAAAAAAAAATTTGAAAAATACAGAAAAATGTACATGGAGAGTCCAAATCACCTTTAATCCATTACTTAGTAATAACCACCGTCAACCTTATCCTTTCTGTGCCAATTTATCTAGATAATTAGTTCTATAGACAAACAGGCAGACAGGCAGATGGACCAGAGTAGATTTAATCATTTTTCTGTTACGGTTTTAGATACATATGTCTAACTGACTTCTAGAAACAAATTAATAGCAATTCATAGCAGTGTAGGAGTATATCTATCTCATTATATCTGAAGAGGGAATACTATAATAACTTCTAGGGCCTTGGCTTGATTTCTTAAGAGAAAATGGCATCTTATTGCATTTTAATTACATTACTAACTAGATCGAACATTTTCCAATTTGGTCATTTTTAGTCATTTATTTCCATATTTATAATACTTTCCAGTGAATTTAAAAATTTTTTCTCTTTAGAGGTTTAAATATTTCTATATTCAGAATTATAGACCTCTTTTCTCATTTTATGGCAAAAAATGATATTTTTTTTATACATATCTGTAAGTTCTTCCTTCCCATTTTTAGAAATGAAAGTGCTAACTTGTCTTTTCATGGTTACTCTGGGAAACAGCCCTTAACCCCTTCCTTCTGGGTAGTCTTTGGTCAAGGACAGAATTCCTACAAGGGCCAGTCTGCAAATAAAAATGAACAGTAGCCAAGCTATTATCATCTTGACCATTAATTGCAAGTCTTCTTCTTTTCTCTCCTTCTCTGAAGACCAAATTCAGGGGAAAAAAAATGCTTCATTTTCAAGCATCTTCAAAATCTTACAAACAATTTTTGGCTTACTCATGTAAGTCTTATTGCTGTTATTTCCTATAGAATCTTTAAAGATATGATCTATAAAGAAAATATTTTGTTTGCTTTTAGATCTAGTGGTTAATTTTCAGGAGCCATTTTTTAGAACTTAGTACTTTAAAAATTCTTAAATAAGAAATATATGAAGTTTACTTGGGTCTCTCCAGTTGCTTTAAATATGAAAGCACTCTTTGGAATAATTGTGTATCTTTTTAAGGATTGTTAATAGTATAAAATTTAATGTTTATGGTGACTAATAATCAATCGATAAGTATTCTTTGAGTTAATTGAAATATCCTCCTTTTCCTCTTCATCTCTCCAAATCTTAAATATTTTTCTGAATTCAGGCCAAGCCTTTTGTCCACCCTGACAAGGCTTTACACAAGTTCTTGCTCCCCTTGGTAACCATGTTATCCTATTAAATGTCCCTTGACACAAAGCAAAAAGCAGTCCAAATGTCATTAAACTTTCCATGTGTTGGTATTTCATGTTTTTAACTAGCCTCATTAAGTGTGCCTCCATGCAATTCAATTTATTCAACAGTTTATTAACTCCACTTAAGTAAGACTTTGCAAAGTTATCTAATTTTACATATTTGTAAGCACACACACCTATGATATGATACATTTGTTGCAAAAGCGATGACAGGTGGGGAAAGTGGAGAGATTGGGCTCCAACCAGATGTGCTTGAGTTGACTTGTACCAGCCTGCAAGAGCCTATTGTTAAATTTTCAGCAGTTTTGTAAGGTGGTTGTTAAACAGGGTTTCATTATTAAAAATCAAGTGTTCTATTACACTTCTTTTTCCAAATTTGCATTCAGGGACATCATGTTGGTAGCTTGAAATTGGGCATGGTCAAAATATTTATACCACCAAAATTGGCAAACAGAACTTGATGCATCGCTTTGTTGATTGACTGGACTTAAGACAGTGATAGAGAAAATGTTAACAATGCAGGTTAAACCTAATAGCATGTTGTGTATGTAACCCCACTACATTGGGAATACCAAAACATAGAGGCTGGGGAAAAAAAGAAAAAAATATATTCCTCCAGTATTTGAACACTATTATCCAATTAGACAAAAAAGTCCCTCACATCATTGAATAATTAGTGAAATTCTGGCATACATTGTGATGAAGCTGAAAGGGGCTTTGGTTTAATGAAGATAGTTTGTATGAGAATGAGAAATAGTTTAACAAAAGATCACATATTGAACTTACTGAAAATAAATTTAATGAGAAAAGAGTAGTAAGGGATGCAGTTTCAATTTTTAAATTATACTTGAATTGTAATCATAGGTTGGCTACAGATACAAGAGTTTGGCAAAAATCAATAAAAGCATTCTGTAAGAATCAATAATTTTATATAATTATAATAAAGAGCATTTGATATTTTATTATTATTTGTAAAGTGTGTGCTATACATCCTTTATAGAAGTAAAGTTTATAATGAACCTATTTACATATACACATATATGTACCAGAATTCTTTTGTTTTTTTGTTTTTTTTTTTTTAGTGATCTTGTTAAACATTAACCTGCACACCACTGCATGTATTCTTCCCTGCAAGATACAATCACAATGAATTTTGAACCAGGGAATGGAGAGCTCTGGCTACACTCCTGCCATCTTCACCCCACCCTCCCTGGAGATGTAGTACTTATAAAATGTATGTAGCATAGCTTTGGTTTTTATGAGAGGAGGGGCATTCAGAATGATCTCATCTCTGTCAGTAAAATAGCTAAACATACTTTCTTGTTCTTGTAAAGATTAAAAACACACAAGTAGCATACGCTTCTTAAAAAGGAACCAGGAAAGTAGACTTCAGCTTTATGACTATCACTGGGATCCCCAAAATCATACCTTTCAATTTGCCCTTCTCAGGTTCCAGTGTTGACTCTGGTAGCCATCCCCTCACTAGAGACCCCATGACGTGGAGCCTCAGTCCTAAACAAAAGATACCCTAAGGGAAAAAAAAATGAATTCACATTTTGCAAATAAATAAATCTTCCAGGACTCATGAAAGCTACTTCTCAATTTTACACACCCATAAGCCTGTTTCCTCACCCAGTATGCTGAATATTTTGTCTTCAGGAAGATGGTTTCTCATCTGTTTGAAAATCTTTCGCTCCTGTTGGGGGTATTTAATATTGGCCCTGCAGTCGCTGTCTCTGGGTTAGGTCATGGCAAGAGGAAGTCCTGTAGGTGGACAGAGTGCAGAGCTGTGGCGACCTTCTCCACGCGTGGTCTTACCTGTAAACAAAACATCCCAGAGAAGGTGAACAATTAAAATAAATGTATCCAAACTACCTTCAATCAAATGCTTGGTTAAGGTCCTGCTTCTCCTTCCCATTCCCTACTCTCAAGACCTGAGCCCTAATTTTCTCCTCTAAACCTGAAAGTATACCCATCTTTGACTGTCAAAGGGTTTTCCACAGGGAGTAAAATAATTTGACCTAATGAATAAAGAATAACTCTACTGATATTCGTTTATCTTGACTTGGTATATTTAAATACGAAGAAAGATGAAGGAATTCATATTGGCTATGTACGTGCTAATGAGATAATCAGGGTTTAATGAAAAACCGACAGTTATTAGCTCATCAGTTCAGCTTGGTGACTATTGGTCTGTTATGGCAGGACAAGAATAATTAAGTGACACTTAAAGGTATGAGAAGAACGTTAGTCAGAAATTGATGTGTCCACAGAAGGCTCCAAACGTCCCATGTTTAATGGTCCTCTCTGCGTTGCCATGGCAACCCACTTGGGTAACTGGAGTAGCCTCAGCTTAGGAAAACAAGGGGCAGAGTGTTCTTAGGAAGGTGCAATCCCCTTTAAGCAGATCTATAAGCATCACAGATGAACAGAACTTTAAACATTCCTCCATGAATATTCATGAAGTAAGTTGTTTTTTGTTGCCTGCCTAGTCAGCAGTCACAAAACACATGGTGTGTGTTGGCAGCATCTTGCCTAGGTAGAGGGCTAGGGACTGAGGCAATGGCAGGAACCAGGACCTGTGAGGCTGACTGACATTTCCATCTGTAGCGAAGGCTGGTAATTAACAGGAAGGAGTATGCCTGCAGCACTGCACCATCTGCTAGGGACGCGGCTCAATACGAGAGGAGCTGGAGAGCATCTCAGCAGTGGCACGATCTGGTTCCGACATGAGGCCGGGCATCTGTTAGCCGAGGAGATAGACTATTAGGAAATTCAGCTGGGAATGAACAACATGGAAAGAGCACTCTGACCTAGCCCATAAAAGCAACTCTTCAGAAACGGTGCCTTTTTATCTTACTTACCCAAGTCTTCTGAAAATGCTTTGCTGAGGGGCCATTACGGATCCGTTTGAAGTCACACAATGGTTTCAGAAACGCTGTTTTATTCCAACATGAAATTCTTGAAATCAGGATACAGCTGTCATCTTTTGACAATAGAGCTAATTTCAGAGCGAGGATATGAGGTTAAATTCCTTCTTTTGTTGTTTAGATTGGGGAGCAGGGGGGGGAGAGAAACAAAATGATCGTTTAAGTGCTATGCTGCTCAAAATTCAGAAGGAAAAAAAAAAAAACCTGGGATGCCCTGACAGAAAGGGAGCAGGTCAGAAATCAGCCCAGAGTTCTCTAATGTCTTTATATCTCCCCTTTACTTTTTGCTCTAGGGCAACTGTTTCCCATGCAGGTCTCCCTCGCTGTGAAAAACCACAGCCCTGGCTCGGGGCGCAGACGCTTTACTAGTTTCAGGACCTTGGTCGAAGTTAACGTTAACGTTTCAGGTGCCGAATCTAGAAACGGGAGTGAGGTCACCACAGACCCCGTGCACGCGGGGTGGGTGAGAGGGGGCGCGTTCCTAACACTTGGTGTGGCTCCTACCGGCCCCCGCCCCCTCCCCACCCCGCCCCACACTCTCAGGAGGTGCAGAACCCTCTTCTGCAATGAAACGCATCTCTGAGAGGGGCCGGCAGACAGAAAACTTGGTTTTCTCACCAGCTTATAGGTTGATGCCACTGTTAAGAATGTAAATGTGTTGCCCATCTTCCAACAGTCGGGGAGGAACTATTGACTCGAAGGGTTCGGATCAGGTTAGAGGTTAGTGTCAACACTATGCATGGGCTGAAACCACTGACCCAGATGCAAAGTCCAGCAGATGGTAGATGTCTATGTGTGTGTGCGTGTGCGCGTGTGCGCGCGCACGTGTGTGTGTGTGTGTGTGTGTGTGTGTGTGTGTGTGTGAGAGAGAGAGAGAGAGAGAGAGAGAGAGACGCTGTTACTAAATCAGCGCCATTGAGTGATATTTACCGAGACCTCATGGTACCATATGGAAGTGAAGAATATATAGACCTTGGAATTTAAATCCATCTGAGAAGGATGGACACAGCCTTCAGATTTAGAGCACTTTTTTCCCCCGTTCCCATTCCTCTCGTGAATGCTGATTGCTTTGCTAATCCACAGGAAGGCTGGTGTCCGAAAGGGCCAGCGTGAAACAAACAGGAAAACCGTGTCCTCACTACATATGAGAACGATAATTAACATTAACTGTGGAAAAAAGAAAACCATTTTGTCCAGTTGTGTGCTGGTAAATGTCTAATAACCCCTCACAGAGGAGAAGAAAGAGCTCCTGATTTGTAGCACTGGCCAAATTCTGCAGTGCGAGTACTCTCCCTGTGGGCAAGTTCAAACTGCCCTCGCTGGGTCACTGGAGGCAGATTTGGGACAGAGGTGCACAGGCGGCTCTCTAAAGCCGGTGGGGGCTGGCCTGCACACACCACAATTTTAACCCCATATGCTTCCTATATAAGGAATTGGTAGTACCCGTTTGGGTTATGTTAGTGAAAGTGGTCTCTTTTCCACACACTGACAGCACAATAGATTTGAATATTATTTTATTGCCTATAAAACCCATTAATGTACATTAATTTATTGGATCCTCCTAATCCCGATGACATAGTGAGAAACTGAGGCTGAGTGCCATGCCATAGGCTGCCCATTTAGCAAGTGGGAGGCGTGAGCTATTTCCAAGGTAGGTCTCCTTCATTGCAAGAGCTTGCTTCTAGACGGACACCTGTGCATCCCTGGCCCAGCAGCCGGCCGGGTCCACACCCGTCCTTGTTTCTCCATTTCTGTCTTGAGCTCTGTCGCTTTGCTGTGTTTCGGCCTCAGCCTTCGCCCTAACCTCGTCTCAGCTGCCGTGTTTGCAGTTGTCAGACGCGTACAGTAGAGACGCGGCGGCACACAGCCCGTCTCTCCCCGGCAGGCCGGGCGCTCCGAGTGCCGCTCTCACCTCCTCTTCTCGCGTCCAGCCCACAGGGCCCGGGCCGCACCGAGCAGCCTCACGCGGGGACCTGGCCACCAGGCTGAGCTCCAGGAGCTCACGCAGTGTCACTTGTGGCTTGTAGGTTACACCAATAAAGAATTTAAAGAGTCATTAAAAAATGGGAAGTGGAAAGTGTCATGCCATGTGGGAAGCTGGCTAGCACCGCGGATTTCAAAGACATGCTCCATGGCTAGAATCCTCGCTCCATTAATCGTTTAACGAGCAAATATCATGGAATGGAATCCTATGTGGCAACTATGTTGCTACCTATAGGAGAATTAGAGATTAACGAAAATGATCCCTGCTCTCAAGGACTTCACCTTAAATTGTTTTCCCAGAGGAAGCCAATCTGGCTATAAATTCTATAAATTCTCTAGGCAGCTGTGCCACTTAAAGTCACATCATAAATCAACAATGCCATTGCAGCTACGGGGAGAGTCACTTAAGGGTTACTTGTTGCAAAGTGAGTGGCACAAGTTCAACACGGGGAAGACCCTCACAACTTGGAAGGTCTGTACAATGATGGGGTCCATTTGGTAAGAAGGATGACCCAAGGGTAGAAAGGGCTGCATCAAATCCAGGGTTGCCGGAGAACTGAAACCAATTATCCTATGTGAGCCTGCTGCCCCCATGGATGGAAATAATAAACATTAATTTAAATAGTATCGATGGTTGCATTGATGACTCCCATGTGTTTACACTTACCACTTGGGCCTACTGATGAAAAATCCCAAATGCAATCTGAGGGGCATAGGGTGCATTCACTTAGATGATGGAGGGGACAATGATGGGGGCAGCCCCTCCTGGACCTCCACACACCGTGTAGAGAGGGGTCTGCAGCACGCAGCATGGATCTAAACCAGCATCAGATCCAGTGCAGCTATCTCACATGGGAATGATGCTCAGGGTACTAGTTCAGGGAGCTCAGCAGTCCAGGCTACCTAGCACACCGCACTAGTGAAGGCAAGAAAAGATTTCACCCTCAGCAGGGACAGGGTTGGAGTTCTTGATTTTTTTCTTTTCTCCATGCCCTTCTCAACACTACGGATATGAACACCTAAAAGAAATCTTGGTGTTAGAATATATATTTCATTTTAGGGTTGACATATCAGAATCATTCATTCATTCACCAAAAATTGGTTTTAAGTGCCTACCATGTGCCAGATGCCTGAGCAAAGGCAATAAACAACACAGACAAAGCCTTTACACTCTCTCTCTCTCTGTCTCTCTCTCTCTCTCTCTCTCTCTCACACACACACACACACACACACACAAACACACCCCAGATGGTGGGAAATGTTATGAAGAAAAATGAAGCAGACAATAAGAGCGTGGTGTGGTTGGGGTGGCTTGTGACTGTGTGAGACCCAGAGATCAGAGAGGGTCTCTCTGATAACTGATACTCGATCAGAGGCCCGCCCGGGCAGTGACGGGAGTGAAGTGTGGAATAGGTAGAGGAAGAGCAGTAAATAGACCGGGCAGGAGGCTCAGAGGTAGTTGTCTGGAAGGATCTCAGCTGATTACAGATAAAGCAACGAAGGCATATCTGAAACTATCTCTGTCCCTACATAGGTGACAGCTGGTGAATTTCTGCCCACCCAGACATATTCTGAAAGTTAAACACACAGGAGGTGGAACAAGGGCTCTGAGATATCCCATGACATCCGCTTTAAGAAACTGTTACTCTTGGGAAATCTGGTGTCTCACTCTTTGTATCCTTTGGTGGAATCATGAGTCTTTGGAGAGCTGGATTGATCTATCCCCTCTGCCTCCCTATGCAGGGCCTGGTAGGCAGTAGCTATATAGTTTCTCTTTATTAAATTACGTGCAATTTATGCAGACCTTTTTCTTTATTACTTTTTTTTCATTACCTTCTTATTATGTAAGTAATAAGTGTTCATTTTAGAGTAAACACAAAATTTAAATGAAAAGATTTTTTTTAAAAAAAGTACCTCTTGTTTTATTCAAAAACTGCTGTTAATATTTTTTAAATAGTTACCATATTTTCAGAATATTTGTGTAGGCATATATTTTAACTATCAACCATCAAAAACGTTCTCTGCAGAACAGATAGTTTAGAAAGTTGTGGTACTGTTTTTCCCCCAAACTTTTTAAGATGTATTTTTGTTTGGACAAAGTTTCTTCTGCAATATCATTTTTATGTCTGCAGAGAGTATTGCACTAAATGGTTGATCAAATTTATTTAACTAGACTTTTGTTACTAAACATTCTGATTTGTTGAAAGTTTTCTCTTATCAAAAAGATGTGTTGGACATGGTTTTAGCTAGATCTAATAGCCAACCACATGTTTCCTTAATGATACCTTTGAGCTGTTGATGTTCCCCCAGAAAAGTCATATCCTTTTGTGAAGTCCTTGGTCCAACAAATATTTATTAGTGGTGTTATTTGGCCTCATGATCCTATAGGGTGGGGGTCCTCTGTCATCAAGGATTTTTTGTAGAATTATGCAACTTTACCAACAAATGGCACAATCTCATCACCCTAAACATTTCTGATTAATGGAACTGCACGGCCACTCCACGAGATACCAGGAAGATGAAGAACTGCAGATCATACTTTTTATGTCAATTGTATTGATTACTACCATAGTAACATGATCTTTTCATAGCAATTGTATTGATTACTACCACAGTAACATGGTGGGGACTGTAATAAACTCAAGATTGACAGTGAGAGGAGTATGTCTGGCCTCCTCACCCTTCATCAGCAATGTGTGTTTTTAGGATGGCTTTCAAAACTCTAGTCAAGAGTCTTCAATCAAACAATAGGGTCTCTCTAAGTTGATGCCTTTTCTCCTCATCCCCAAAGCAGAAGTATTTTCCCCATCCCTCCCAGCCTCCAGCAGTTTCTTAGGATTCCTGGTGTATCCCTCTCCCCCCACCGACTCACCCCCCATGGCATCTGCTTGGGGTCCAACAGTGAGCAGGGTTTTGATTCAAGGCGTGGCTAGACGCCCTGGATGTGCCCTGCGGCTCTGTTCTGTGATTACGTGGAGATGAAGTCAGTCACCAAGCATTCCTAATTCCGGTGAGAGGACACAATCACGCTCCACGATGAGTTGAGTCATCGCAGGGTAAACGTTATTTCAGGCTCAGATCACAGCACAGCCTCCTACAATCAAGAAATCGAGACTATTTCTCAGAAACGCATCCTCCCGAGGCAGTGATGATTGGTGATGAACTCTGCGGAGGGGAATCCTCAGAACAGTCACGTTTAACTGCTGGCCGCAC